CACCCCGAGTGCACAAATTTTTGTGCACTGGGCCTCTAGTCTATATATATAAAAGCCTAAGCAACTGGTCGCTATGACACGCACCGACCACCAGGGGGCAGTTGCTCAACACAGGAGTTGCCCCCTGGTGGTCAGTGCGCTCCCACAGCCAACCTCCCCTGGTCCCTCCCCTCCTCCCTCCCGCATCGGCCCTGATCAGGACTGGACTGGGCAAGACAGCCCCTATCGGCCCTGAGGCCAAAGGACCCACCCATACATGAATTTGTGCACCGGGCCTCTGGAATCAGAATAATGAGACAATGCATGCCCATGTTTTGGCCACTAATAAGGGACATACATTGAATACCTCTTGCAGCAGCATCATAAGGAATTAAATTTGAAAGCAAACTGTTTTAAAAAGGAGATCTGAAGTTCCACATCATTTGTGTGTAAGATGTGTGACCCTGAACAAGTTAACTCTGATTCTGTTTCATTACTCATTACACAGGGCTGCTGGAAAGATTAAGTTAAATTAAGTGTTAAACAACTCCTTTAATGTTCAAGTGCTAAAAAATTTGTACTAATCATCTCTATCAAGCTACTACTAAAAAAACAGCCATAATTCTATGACATTTAAGGTTAGAAGCTATCTCAACAGATCTCTAAGGCCTATTCCTCTTATTTTACCAGTGAGAAGTTGATGCCCAAAGGGACCAAGCAAATGGCCCTAAGTCAGGGACATAAGCTGAGCCTGGAGCTGGCATTGCCTTGCTGACTACTCAACTGCTTAACCAGTCCGTAAGACCGCAAATCTACATGCAGGTCAGAGGGAAAACAAGACAGATTCAAAAACACAGCCACCTTCCTTCATGCCCTGATTTTCCACTGTTGGAGCTCTACACCAACGTTTTCTCAGTCTGAACAAAGAAAACACAAACCTTCTCACTGATGGGGTTTTTGGCAGCTCATGACCTGGTAGGGACATGTAAACAACCAGCTGTCCTCACAGCCACCAAATTAAACAGGTAACTAACTAGAGCCACAGATCTAGTAAGTGCACTGCAGAGCCAACAGTCAAAACAGGTCTGATTTTGAAGTCTGTTCTTTCCAATACAATGCTCTCAAGATACAGCAATTAACTAAAAACCAAGTAAATCTAATGCTACAACTTATACTCACCTTGACCTTAGGCAACTAAAACTTACCTTTAAACAGCTAAAAATTACAACATCAATGTGGATATGGTGCTAGTTTACAGCTCAAAATAACGTATTAAAATCTACCTTCCACAGGACACTCAAACGGCTTTGTGCCCAGGTGGGTGATGCTGTGGCCTTTCAGATGCTCTGCTCTCGTGAATGACTTCCCACAGCCTTCCACAGTGCAGATAAACCTCCGATCATCATCGTGTTTCCTGCCAGGACAGAAAAACATGACACAGATTACTCACACAGCCCAGAGGCACTAGGCCTCAAAGACGATTTTTTGATTAAAATTCTGCAAAATATACCAAACTACAAATGCTTTGCATTTAAAAAAAAAACTTTTATCAGTACATTTCAGAGAACCTTAACTGTGTCTCTAGCCCACATGGGCAGATTTGCAATTTAGCCACCCTGTAATTAGAAATTCTACTTTATTTTAATGACCTAGCCGACCCCAGAGTCAGACACAGAAAAATCAGTGCTGCTTCAATCTAGCAAGAGCTGAGTCTCAATGTACTGATAAAGCTACCTCCAGTTTAAGAATCCCAATAATAAACAAGCTTCCCAATCCACAGAGGGCAACAAGAAGTGTGCACAGAAAATCCACTAAAAGGCGAAAGGACCTTCTCAAGCCCATGCATAAACACTGTCTTTTTCTGAGTAACATTTGTATATTAAACACTCAAACTCCAGCTATGCAAGCATGGACAAACTGCCCAACCTCTTGAGTCCCACTGCAAAACAGAGAGTAAGAACATCAGAGTCAGAGTTCTTGGGAAGATTACATGAAATACACAGAAGTGCTGAATAGCACCTTCTTATAGGCTAAGCCCTCTAAGGTCGTCATTATCACCATGGAAAGTTCGTATTGACATGAGGAAAGCTTATTCCACACCATAATTTTCTTAAAAGTATAGAATTGTACACAACAGGTACCAATTAAATTTAAGAACAAGTATACAAAGGAAAAAACTTTGGGTGACTTTGTGTGAACAGGATTCTCAGTGTTTTCCTTCTTAAGGCTTTCTGAACTTCCAAATTATCTACACTGGGCTTTCCTTATAACTTAAAGAAATCTGAGATAGTTTATCCATAGGCTTCTGCTACTAAGAAATAATTCATTCATTTTCAAACTTGTAATTCAACCAAAATGTATAAATTACCTTTTGTGCCTCAGGAGTTTAGACATGCTGGTAAAGGTCCAGCCACAACTGTCAGAGTCACAAATAAAAGGTCTTTCACCTTAGGAAAGAAAAAGTTACACCAAGTAATTATAAATACAAGCTACTACAAAGACAGATCTTGGATCCAAATTACATTGCGTTCCCTAGCTCATTACCTGTATGACTTCTCAGGTGAATTTTCAGGCGACAGGCTTTGTCATACTGTTTGCTGCAACCAGGAAAGGAGCAGGAAAAGAGTTCCTGTTCTCTGAAGTGGGCTCGGTTATGGGAAAACAGAGCACTCACCGTGATGAAGGTCTTCTCACAGCCTGAACAAAGAAAACACAAACCTGCTCACTGGTGTGGCAAAAATCACAGAAGACAGCTACACTAGCCACCATCCAGGACACTGCTGGCACTGAAGCAGATGAGGAAAAAAATGATTCAGAAGCACCTCTGGAAAGTTACTACCATTGACATCTGGCTTTGCAGTAACTAAAGTAGGATTGGCTAAGAGTAGCCAACAAGCACACGAAAGCCACCTGTTTTAAAATGACTTAGAGATGAAGGCTCTGATCAAGGGAAAGTCCTCCAATCGCAGCCATCTGCTCCATTCTGTGGCACAGGTCTTGCATACATTTTGAGAACTCAAATGTCAATTCGGTTGGTGTGAAATCCAAGAAAATCCAATGGGAGAAATTAGATACTAAGGAACAAGATTTTGTCTGTTAGGGTTGGGCTTGGAAGGGCCACAAACCATTGTAATATCTGAGACTTTCAAGCCCTTGGGGTGATGCTGCATCCTCTACACATATAATGTCGTCCCTGATATCCTCTGCAACAGGCAGCCCCCACCTGTCATCTGGCTTCTCTTTCTCCTTTTGCCCATTTCCTCAAGGCTCCCTACTTTGTCAAAGGAGGTTACTGGAGTCATCTTCATTCACATGGTCTTTCCCATCATCTCCATCCTCAGCCCCCAGTTGAGCCACCATCCAAAGGAGCCTGCCTGAGCAACTACCAGACTTTCCACACCAATTGTTATCCTTTGACAAAAACATCCAGTGCTCAAATAGGGTGGAAAATATCAGGCTGCAAGATGCCTATCAAGTGTCTTCATAGCAGCTCTTCACAGAGCATTTAACATGCTACCACAGTGCCTGTAAGCCACCCAGCAGATACATGCTGCATAGCACCACACAAAAGTACTGGCCCAAACAACCCTGTCCCTGGCAACATTGAACTGGGAAAATCAACCTCTCTAAATGCCCTAAAATCATACTCTTTGCCATAAATCTACTCTTCCCCCCTTCCCTTCCTTTCCCTGTTTTGGGCTTTGGTGAAGTCATACACTTGTTCAGATAAATCGAAGCATCCTAAATCTGTGCCTCAATAGAACCCCCATCGACAAACCAGCCCTTTATTCTGCCTCTGCATCTGGCGCCCCCTCACCATTCCCACTGCCTCTGCCTAGGGCAGCCCTAAGGAAACTCAACCTGGAACGTTTCTTGAAACTTCACTGATCCCTCTCCTGCTTCTGCCCCATCTCAAACACTGACACCCCACAGATCATTGAGCTCAAAACTTCAGGAAGACCTCCTGGCCTAAAGCAGGCTAGACCCCTGATTTTCCTAGTAGTATACTCAGAATCATGCCCTCTGTGCAGTCTTTAAGCCATGGTAGATTCCCAGGGTGTATGACAGAAAAAGGTTTCCAATCAGTGGCCTGAAGCCACGTCCTCCAGGAAGAGGGCCACATGAAACCATCTACAGCACATCGGAGGGAAACTCTAGAACCTGCTGGCATTTTGCATTTCACTCTTTCAAGCTCTCTATACTTCAGTATATTTTATATTTTACATTAGGAGAGCATCGAATGTGTGATACACGTCAACATACCCGTGGGACTCACGCTAGGTGCGTGCTTGCCTTTCTGTTTTAATGAGTTGGTGGTGGAAGGTCCTTCACCCTCTGCTCGGCCCTCCCACACCCTCCCAGCCCACAGGCCCTGCCTCGGCTCTGCAGCTTTTCCCACCAGCAATGCCTCCTACCCTACTTCCCCAGGCCAGTTCCTTCCCAGGAAGGAATTTTCTCTTCCCTGGGGCACTCTCTCTCAGAGCACCTACACCACCAACCAGTAAAGAATTCACCAGTAAAGAATTCACGGTATGGAAGCCTTATCTCCCTGCCCCTGCAGGCAATCACTGTGGACAAAGAACCACCACTGGATTTCTCGGATTTCTCTTCCACCTTGCTGGGCCTCAGTCACAGTCACTTCTTCTGTCACAGGAGGATAATTTTAAGAACTTGACAAAACTGTGAAGTCCAAAGAATAGTATAAAAGGCACAGAATCGCCTTAACCGGTTTGGCTTAGTGGATAGAGCATCAGCCTGTGGACTGAAGGGTCCCAGGTTCCATTCTGGTCAAGGGCATGTACCTTGGTTGCGGTGTGTGTGTCTGTGTATATTTGATTTATTTATTTATTAACCTATGTGTGTGTATGTGTATGTGTATATTTTATTTATTTATTTATTAACCTATGTGTGTGTGTGTGTATGTGTATATTTTATTTATTTATTTATTTATTTATTTATTTATTTTTAAAGGCACAGGATCTGTGCTACACCATCTTAAGGCCTTACATCTGGACGGCTCCACCAATTGGTGTGCCCCACCAATATCTGAGGAGTTAATGTTTCTAAATGAGACGGAGGAAAACAAAGACCTGTCTCCTAACAAAACTCTGGGAAGATGCGTTCTCTCTTTCACTAACCAGAAGCACATTCAGAGCCATCTGCTGCCGCCACCCTGGGGAAGGACAACTGTGATCCCCTGGGCGAGCTGCGGTCGAGATCCCCACGGCCAGGCAGGGGGTCAGGTGTCCCAGGAACAGCTAGGACACACACACCCAGCACGGGAGCGCTACCGTCCCCGCCCCTCGCAC